ATATATATATATATATATATATATATATATATATTTATTTTTAAACTTAAATCTGAATCTTTCATAAATTATATCAAACTTCTAATATTTACTCTTAGGTCCCTAGCCATAAACCTTTAATATAATATCATTTAATATAAAATAATTATTAAATAATCCTTATTTTTTTACAAACAAACCTTTTACTAAATTTTTGAAAATGGGGGATGTTACAGATTCTTAACACTATTGGTAATACACGAAGATTGTTGACTGGTGAGTCGATTCGATTTGTTTTCTGTCGAAAGTGCAAGTCCCTTCTAGTAATTACTCATGGCTGACGTAGAGAGCAAACATTGTGGGCATGATAAAGGAAGCCGTATGAAGAGTCGATTCACTAGGAGCAGCTCAGTTTTTTAGCAGTAAAGCTTGGTTAGGGGAGCTTGGCGATCTCCTCTGTTGGGTAGCCTTCGGGCTATGTCTCCGGGCTTCGTCAATGACCCTACACGACAAGCCTATATTGAGGGCGTTTCTATTCGACCTATTTGATGCTTAAGTCAAGAAAGCAGAAGGGGAGGAAAACAAAAGTATCAATAATGAATTACGAGAGTAAAGAAACTTTTTTTTCCTCTTACCCTAGCTTGGCCCGGGGCATGGTTTTTATATATAGGCGTTAGGTAAAGCAAACGGGCTTCCATTAAGGCCTCCCTTACCTAGCATGGCAGAAATATTTAAAGCGGGCAGCTTGTCGATGCATGCTCCCAAGGGTAGCCTCTCGGAAACTATTGGAATGACATCTTCGATTGAGCTTCCTTACTTCTTCGGGTCAAGCAGGGCATGGTCCCCTCGTCGTTTGTCTAGAAGGGAAGGCTAGTGAAACTGGGCCATGCCACTAACCATTAATGCAGAGCCAGATTTATTTTTCTTATTGTGGGATTGAATATAAACTAAATTCCAAAAACTGGTTTAGACATATTTAAAAAAGGGCCCATAGGGTGGTCCATGAAGCCCATTAAAATTCCGAATCAGTTCTCAAGTAGCTTGCGGGTAAGTGTAGTGGGGAACTAATTTTTTTTTGACAACATCATGGTTGGTAATGTATTATCATGTACTTAGTTTATTTTGTCTAAATTGTATGGTATCCTTGCATGTTTGTTTGCAAAGGGTCTAACATCCCCAAAATCTCTTATGACATTTTAAGCACATGCAAAAGAGAATATGAGTTAGAGGAAATGCTTACCTCAGGATCTATAAGTAGTTATTTCAGTAAATACTAGATAGGCAATGTAACTTAACTTCACAAGCTTTGAATGATTGCATAATAAAAAGTTTAAAGTAGTATGTTGCAACCAAGTGTCCCCATAAGTGCCCACATAATACTATTATGAAATGAAACAACGAACCAACCCTAAATACTATGCAAAGGCCCATCTAGTTATATGTCACTCGAGTAGCTCATAGGTGCTATATTAACCGATATTTTGCACCATTCTATGGAGTTAGAAAGCCCTCAAAATGATTACTTCGATAAGTTATTTCTAGGTAATTTTACCTCTATGTGACGACTATACACAACTTATATTTATAAACTTGAAATAACTATAAAAACTAATCAAAATGAGGTTAGTTATGCAAAGTATAAAAAAAATTGAAAGATATGAACATACACAAGTATTATATCGAACATTCTGTTTACAACTTTATCTGTGATAATATGACGAAAGTAAGCATGCTACGATATGAGATGACGGTTGATACGTTAGATTAGCACATGACGATGATATCATGTGCAATGTTGTTAAAAATAAAATAAAATAAAATAATTTTTAATATATAAAAATTTTAATAATTTTTTAATATATAAAAAGTAGGATGTAAAAGGTCAGGAGATAAAATATTTAATTAGCTCATGCAGCCGACTTAAACCGTCAAACAACCTCACAGGTAAGTCCGGTGGGGGAACTGAATTTTCTTTTTCTGTCGAGTTCTTTGTGACAGGAAAGTGGCGTTCTTCGTGTTACGACTTACACCCAAGAGATTAGTTACGAGCTCGCGGTATTATTTCCCTCATCCACGAAGCTCTGAATTGAAAGCACACCCCACCAACCTTATCGGAAATCTCGAGGAGGCTGTGAAGAAGAAGGGGAAGAGGAAAGACAGCTCAAGTTGGAACGCGCCGATGGCTTTTACGGGAGTCCTCTTCCCTGCCACCGCCACTGGCGCCCCGCACCGCCTCCGCCACCTCCACCAGCTCTGTCCGAAGCCGCGCCGCCTCTCCTCTACCACCCGCACGCTCGCCCTGCCCTCGTCCGCCGACCTCCCCGTTCTCGATGCCCCGGTCGCCCTTGCCGCTGCCTCCTCCGTCGCCGCCCTCGCCGCCGCCCTCTCGCTCTCCGACCCCGAGCGGCGCCGCCGGCAGCAGGCGGAGGACGTTGGCGGCGGCGACAAGGAGGTTGTCCGTGACTACTTCAACAACACCGGCTTCGAGCGCTGGAAGAAGATCTACGGCGAGGCTACCGAAGGCGTGAACCGCGTGCAGCTCGACATCCGCCTCGGCCACGCCCAGACCGTCGAGAACGCCCTCAGCATGCTCCGCGACGGCGGCCCGCTCGCCGGACTATCCGTTTGCGACGCCGGCTGCGGCACCGGCAGCCTCTCTATCCCCCTCGCTTCCGAGGGCGCCCTCGTCTCCGCCAGCGACATCTCCGCCGCCATGGTGACCGAGGCTGAGCGCCAGGCCCGCGAAGCCCTTGCCGACCGACCCGACCTCCAAATGCCCAAATTCGAGGTAAAGGATCTCGAGAGCCTAGACGGAAAATTCGACATCGTGGTGTGCTTGGACGTGCTGATTCACTACCCTCAAGGGAAGGCCGAGGCCATGATCGCGCACTTGGCATCGCTGGCTGAGTCAAGGCTGGTTCTCAGTTTCGCGCCCAAGACGTTGTACTATGACCTGCTGAAGAGGGTGGGCGAACTGTTCCCTGGGCCGAGCAAGGCGACGAGGGCGTATCTGCACGCAGAGAGGGATGTGGAGCGGGCTCTGGAGAAGGTCGGGTGGAGGGTGAGGAAGAGGGGCTTCATCCGTACTCAGTTCTACTTTGCCAAGTTGGTCGAGGCGGTGCCAGTGGGCTTGGCATGAGATGATGATAACCAAAGGCACAAGGCTTTTGCCGGGAGAGGTATGTGTTCTTGTGTCTTCTTGTTCAGCTGGAATTCCTCATTTTGTATATTTCATCTAATTGTTGAAGGGTATTTAGATGAGTATAATTCTCAGTATCTCCATGGAACTTCTATGTGTAGAGAAGCTATGTTTTGCAATTCCATTTGAAACCTTAGGAGTCTACAAGACATTACTTCAGTATTGCAGGACTCGAGCAATACAGAGTTATACTTGATGTGGATTGATCAGGCAACACTACATATAAATCTCCGATTGCCGCTAAGCCTAGTGTGATTATTTATGCTATCTTAATTCGTGGGCAATGTTACTTGAGCTATATGAGCTAATTCAAATATGCTTTTTGGTTGATACATTGCCAATTAATTAAAGAGAGATACTGATGGAATATTAGTTCTAGATGCCCTATGAATTCTCTTAGCAATGACTGCTGCCTCCTTTCAGGAGTATGTTGTCTTGAGAAATTCCTGAAATGCAACTTTAAAAAAATTATAACAAATGTGGGATTTGCTATAGATGGCAGGTCACCAATTTTGAATTCTTTTGGAGGTAATTGAGTATTTAATTTAGATCTTTTATAGATGAAAACCAATTGGTCATGACCCTGCAAATGTATTTTGGCGATTAGCCTTTATTACAGGGTAGCTTGGAAAACCCATAATGTGAGTCTGTCCATACCTGGAGCTCTATGTCATTCGTCGCTTGATTATTGGCCAAAATTGTTTCTCCAAAGTTGAGTCATCGATAGTGAATTATCAAACTATTTAATAACAAAAGAAAAGAGGTTATCAGGCTAAGAGATCATGGGGTGCATTTTACTACATTGACAATTTATTTGTTACATTCCATTTTTGACTTAATATATATGTCCAGCATGAAAAGAAGTGTTAAATAGAAAATCTAGTCGATAATCAAATGCTACATGAAAGAAACAAAAATTTCTCCATCATGTATCCCTGACCGTATGGGGAGACAGATGAATTCAAGAGTTAGATCAGGTCTAATAGGTCTATAGTGGTTCATACTTTTTTTAGATGAAAACCAGGAGCAAGATGTTTACCATTTAGATATTTGAAATCTGACAATACAATTTTATTTTCACCTTTATATGTTGTGCGTTTTGTTTCACCAGGATAAAAATTGGAATGAGTTTCTTGATTATCTTGATTAATACCATAGTAGCATGCTATAGTTTGTCCTTTGCATTGTTAAACAGATTAATCCTCAATTTTCCCCAAGTATAATTCACTGCAGTCTTTTTATTTATATTCATCTTATATCTGGTGCCTTCATTCTGAAAAATTGAACTGATACTAAGATTGCCAGTATCCATCCAACAAATCAAACATTGCGAAGAATCTTCATCTTTGTTTAAGTTGCTAATCGTCCTATATGAATTTAGTTCCAGATCATATGTTTGCTACTGTGTGTGAATCTTAAAATGTTAAGCTATAATATGACACATAATGCCAAGTAGGACATCCTTCTATCTTTGTCAACCACTTGAAAAATAACCCCAAAACCTATTTTCCTCTAGAATTCTAGCTTGCTACTCATGCCCTTCAGAAGTACTTGTTGTCGATATCGTAGTCAAATTTCAGCATGTTGCATTTTGCAGGTAGAATGACTAATATTTTGTTGTTGCCCATAAATTATAGGTACCTGCTGATCTTGAAATCTAGTCTTTGTTAGCTTGGTATTCAGGATGAAATGTCTCGTTACGTCATTGCCCTGTTTTCATCACAGGCTAACTTGCTCTTTCATTTTGGTAAACTTTTTCATCCTAATATAATGGAGAAGATGGTCAACAATTTTTCTTTTTTCTCTTAATCCTTGGCAGAATATCCCAGAGGGATTCTCTTCTTCTTCTTCTTCTTCTTCTTCTTCTTCTTTAATTTTTGTTCCCAGTTCTGGTCTTGGTTCTAAAGCTAATATGTATTCCTTAATGGTACACTGTCTAGAGTAGGAAGTTTGATATTACAGATACATGTAGTGAGCTGTTGATTATTGATTTTAGAAGCAGTGAAGTTAGATAATATTTTCTTCCTCCCAACTTCCAGTATCTCAAAATTCCTCTTTTATATAGACTAATCACTCTAGTGTTGCAATATTAGCTTGTTTTTAGTGTGAGCATGAGGTGAGGCTTCTTCGCCTCATGTATCTTCTACCAGACATAGATGGATTTGAGTGTATAGATTGATCTTATTCTGTTCTGCTGGTAAGAAAGGTTTTCTGCTAATACGTTTATAACCTTTGGAAAATCTGCACTCTTGGAGAATTCAGAGACCAATTGTCATTGCCAAGGATAATAGCTCACTGTCTGTCAAGAATTGTGCCATGATAGTTCACTCTTTCATAATTATATTTTTATTTTATCTTTGTTTTACCGTAAAAATAATATTTCATATCGAAAGTAATTGATCGTTGCTGACCCTTAAAACATGTTTCCGTGGAAGCATTCTCTACTTAAGAAACAATCCGAAACGGTACTGCAGTGAACTCCAAGGTACGTCCGTCCCCATGCTTCGCCTTGTTATATATGTATGTTGCCTAAGCTCAAATCCCTACCCCATCGATCGGGTGCAAGAGGCCAGATGGAGAAGCTCTCTGATTCCGGACTCGCCGCCTCCCTCCTCCTCCTTCTCGCCCTTCTCTGTTCCTTGACGCCTTCCTCTGCAGACGATAGCCCGCTTCAAGATCTGTGCCCCGCGGCGCCGCAAGGAGAAGCAAAGCTCTTCATGAATGGCTTCCTCTGCAAGAACCCTAGCAGCGTCATGGCCTCCGACTTCAAGACCTCGCGGCTCAACCACGCGGGCGACACCGACAACTTCCTCCGGTCGTCCATGAACGTGGTGACGGCCGCCGACTTCCCCGGCCTCAACACGCAGGGCCTCTCCATGGCCCGCACCGACCTGGCCATGGACGGCATGGTCCTGCCACACTCCCACCCCCGGGCGTCCGAGATGATGTTCGTCTCCCACGGCACGGTGGTGGCAGGGTTCGTGGACAGCGGGAACCGTCTGTTCCAGCGGACGCTGCGGGACGGCGACGTGTTCGTGTTCCCCCGCGGCTTGCTCCACTTCTGCGTGAACGCCGGGTATGGGCTGGCGACCACCTTCTCGGTGCTCAACAGCCAGAACCCGGGCGTGATGAGCATCGCGGGCGCCATGTTCGTGCCCGGATCCGACGTGATGGAGAAGCTCGTGTCGAGGATCTTAAGCTTCAAAGCTGGGAACGCCACAGCCACCGTGAGCTCTGTATGATAGTGATGATGACGTTGTATTTATTATCATCTCATGTTGAGGATGATAAATGGATGATCTTTTTCTTACAAACACACAATCAATATGCAAATTGAATTGGGCTGATTGCAGATTTACGTTCTGAGTCGGATTTAGGTTGTTCTTTTGAACCCAACCACAATTTTGTTTGGGGACCTCAACCCGAACCGGACCAAAGTCTAATTATTGTTGCCGTGGACCTGACTGAATCAATTTTGACTGGTTGGCCCGAAGACGAGTGGGGTCAATTTGGCCCTCCGTTACCATTCACTCTCCTTAATCTCCGGCCCATTTGCGTAAGAAACTACTTTCTCGCCTCGTGCTCGCTAGAAAGCGATCGAGATCGGAGGAGAAGAGAGGAGAAAGGAGAGAGGAGGGGAGAGCGATGGGGAAGGAGGAGCTGACCGAGGAGCAGGTGGCGTCGATGCGGGAGGCGTTCACCCTGTTTGACACGGACGGGGACGGGCGGATCGCGTCGTCGGAACTGGGGATCCTGATGCGATCTCTGGGCGGCAACCCCACGCAGGCCCAGTTGAAAGAGATCGCCGCCTCGGAGGGCCTCACCGCCCCCTTCGACTTCCCCCGCTTCCTCGACCTCATGCGCAAGCACCTCCGCCCCGAGCCCTTCGATCGCCAGCTTCGCGACGCCTTCCGCGTCCTCGACAAGGACGGCACCGGAACCGTCGCCGTCGCCGACCTCCGCCACGTCCTCACCAGCATCGGCGAGAAGCTCGAGCCCAACGAGTTTGACGAGTGGATCCGCGAGGTCGAGGTCGCCCCTGACGGCACCATCCGCTACGAGGACTTCATCCTTCGCATGGTCGCCAAGTGATCCGTCCGATCTCATCCCCTCTTACGATTCTTGGCCTAGGTATGGTGGTGGATCTACGCTTGTGTTCCTTTCCTTCAATTTCCCTCCCATATTTAATTATTTTTAAGATCTGTTGGTCTTGGTTGGGATCTTGTTAGCTTGTGTACATTCCTTTCAAAGTTCTTATGTTTGTAGGATGCATACACTTTAATTATGTCTGTGGTTGGAATTTTGCTCATAATAACAATTGAATATGAGATGTACGGTGATCTTATAATTTCTCTAATTAAATTCTGATTCCGATCTAAACTTTTAAGGTATCGACTGATGCAAAATACTTATGATTAAGCCACAGAGATCTATTAAAAGTCTATTACAAAAACTCCCTTCAGTATCAGAGGATACAACTATATAGAAACTTAACAACTCTTCTTGCCAAGCTAATTTCAGATTATCTTATGTAGTTAGACCTTTTTAGTATTTCGATCCCTAGACTTAAAAAAATTATATTAAAATTTCTATAGTTACGAAAGTAAAACATCTAACTTTATTTACCCTAACACCGTTGGTTCTACCGATGGTAGCATTAAATTATAGGCAAAAAAGTAATTTTAATATTTCAATTATATTTTCGGTGATGACAGACGATGGTGCCGCTGGGTGTCGCGGGTAGCTATTGTGGATGAGGAGGGAGATCAACGACGAGAGGTGAGACAAAGAGAGAGGAGGAAGAGGACGATGCAGATGCTGACGCTTTGTATCTGTGTCGGGATCAATGCAGATGCATATGTAGAGCAGCGAAAGAGCCACTCGGCATTTGAATCAACGTCGACATAGATGTAATATAGATGCAGAGTATCACTTGACATCTGCATTGGTGCCGACACACATGCAGATGCAGAGCACGTCGCTATGCATCTGCATTGGCGCTAACAATGATGCGGGGAAGGGCGGTGCTGCTCTACATCTACATCGACGCCAATGCAAATGCCGAGTGTCAATTTCTGCGTTGTCCTCTTCCTCTTCTCCCTTTCCCTCACCTCTCTTCGTTGCTGTCTGTCATAATCGAAAATGTAACTAGGACGTTGAAATTACCTTTTTGCCCATCGTTTTCGTACTTCCGTCAATAAAACTAACGACGCTAGGGTTAATAGAGCTAGATGTTTCACTCTCATAATCATGGGGATTCCAATATAAATTTTGAAATCTAGGGACCAGAATGCTAAAAAGGTCTAATTACAGGGGATAATATGTAATTAGCCTCTCCTTGCTACTAAAATACTGGACCTAGAAGTCCTAGCAAAACTAACTACCCAGTTGGCAACCTTGTTTGCCTCTCTAGAAGCACGGTTAATAGTAATGCCATCAAACATTCTCAATGAGACAAAGATGTCACTGTACGTGCTGAGTTGCTGCCAAGGAGGTGGTTTCTTCTTGTTAAAAATTTCTGCCAGGTTTCACAGCATCACTCTTCGCCGGCAGCCATGAAATTCTCTCGTTGATTGCTATCTGTATGCCTTCCCTTGCAACAATAACTTCACCCCTTCCCTCCAGGGCTTTCTTGTACATACCTACCACCTGAAACCAAGCAATTGCCATTAGAATCTCTGAGGATAAAGCCTATTCCCCCTATATATTTTTTGGAGACCACACTCCACCAGTGTTCAATTTTAATCATCTATAGTGAGGTTTCCCCATCCCACAGTGACCTTATGTATCCTGCCAGACCCTTCAGATATTTTGGCCTCGGCATAGCGCAATGAAGCCTTGATTACTATCATCCCCCTTGTAATTTGTCTTCTCCTTTGGTTTTTTGTAAATCATGGAGAGCTAAGTGAAATGGAGTTCACAGGTTGAAGGCTTCAAGTTATTTCAATATAAAATTATCAGCTACTAAGTTTTTATGACTTCTAGGTTTGCTTTTGGTAAGTGTAAGGTGAATGATTAGTGTATGTTTATTGCCAATTGTCATGTTTATCTGTTTTGGTTTAGCTTCTGGTCTGTTTGGTCTGTGAAAATGAATGGGTAGCTTTTATTCGGTGGTTTTATCTCTCTGTTTGTATTGCCAAAAGGAAATTCTATACTTTCTTTAGAAATGGACTTTAGCTGCAATTTTGTTACAAAGTTATGTATTGCCCGATTCCCAATCCACCTGGGTATTCCTTAAGAATTGCAGTGTGCTATTTGATGAACAGTTCAACTTACCAATGAGAGTAGAAGAAAGATAGTGAGTTAAATTATGAAATATATCAAGGAAATTAAAAATAAGGAGGATTTCTTTATCTTCTTTGGTGTCCACCTGAGAAAAGGAGATCTAACAAGTTTAAATACATTATTATAAGAAGAAAATAACCACTCTCATTACCATGTCTCAAGGTTTATATTCATGTCTAGCATCTACAACATATAAAAAAGCATCATGGAAGAAACCTTCCTTCATTAATAATTTCATCAGCTTCCAGAATTTCATTAAATAAGACCTTTAGAAGTTTTCAAATATTCTTGAGACAGCTAAACAATTTGCCTAAGCTGTTCAATGTAACCATACAAAGATTCTTAGACATCTTAATCCAAAAAAAATGTTGGAAAGTTTACTTCAGAAGTTGACATCATTGGACTTGAGATATTGATGAATTTCTTTCTCATCCTTGTGACAAATTCTGCAGTGACATCTTTATCTGGATGTTTCTCTTGCTCTTGGTCTTTATTGGTGTTCTAATTTGTACTTGCATTATTTTTCTAGTAGACATAGATTGTTCTACTGATCAATCATGACCTATATCACCTGATCTAGATTGTTATCAACCAAGGCTGATCCAAAATTTTCTGATTTCTTGGCCTTTTTTCAGAATTGGTCACAAATGATTATTTATTAGGCTCTAAGTGGGTAAAATTTGGCCAATTTCAGATGGTTTGTCAAACTCATTAGTATAGAAAAAAGAATGATATTGGTGGTTGCTTTATGAGGGAGAAGAGGAAGAGAATCAAGTGAGGGAAGGAAGGTAAAGTAAAAGTTTCAAATATGGGTCAGTTGGTGCATACTAACTAATGTTTACCGGTTTGACAAAGGACCGATATCAGACCATATGGTCTGTTAGTAGTCGGCATTACTTTTTTTATTATTTATTTAGACTGGCACCAGACAATATCAGCAGTATATAGCTTGGTATATTGGTAACATTTGGGTCCAATTGCTGAAATCGGTACAAGATTGAGATTCAGAACCTTGATTATGACTAAGGAATTGCACAGAGGGATATTGCAGTAATCATGTTCACAAGTCATAAACCTTGTTGTTGACAAACTCATTGCTTGCCACTGTTGTTGTTGTAATGTTTTGCATTTGCGATCATTTGTGACCACGAGGAGCATGTAGAGAGAGAGTTTAAGTAGAGACTAGATCTTAGCTCTTTAAGAAAACATATGTACCAGGTAGAGAATAAAGATGTCATGAGCTTTGGGTTAATCTTAAATTGGTGGGTGTCATTTTCAAAGGTCTTTCATTTGCCTCTTTTTTTTGTATTATACAGAGCTTCACCCGTAACAAACGTTCGGGCCACAAGAGGCACACAACACTATCCTTAAAGCTACAGTTGTATCATATACACCTCTTTGTATTACTTAGAAGCATGGTTTTGCATTTTTGGCACCGAACCCCTGTCGGTCCTGATTGGTCCAGTGCATGCCAAGCATACTGACAAAGTATGCTGGCATGGGCCAGGTACCCTTTTCTAAATGTTTTGACTATCAGAAACCCTAACAAAATTCTATTTTCTGGATGTTTCCTACTTGATAGAATCAAGATTATATAATTTACGTGGTTCAAGTCTACATACAACATATATTGCACTGAAATATGTAATGGAAAAGAAATACTGATGGGATCGAAAAAATATATTGTAACACACAAATAAGGGTTGATGAGGGAACAGAGATAGAGCAAGGTAGGAAGAACTTAAGGGGTCATGGCTAGTTTCAAAGAGAGAAAGAAAGTGAAAAAGGGACTTGTCTGCTCTCTTTTAAACTGACCCCAGTGGGTCTCTTTGAAGTCCAAAACCAACCGATAGGCTTACTGCTTGACCCGCCAGCATACTGCTTGGTTTGTAGAAGCATCATTTTTGTGTGTCCATCATTGGAGAATAGTGTGGATCTATTGACTTACCTTCAAAATGTACTTTTTTTTATTGATTAGTATCATTTTGTATGTCAATTGTTCGAACATAGTGCGCTCTGATTTATCTTTCAGATATACATACTTTTTTGTACTTTATTTTATCCATTAAAAAGATTAATATGGTACCTTGATTACTTGCTATCTATGTCTTTGTAAAAAGATTCATTAGCTTTTTAAAACATAGTGTGATTTGTATGTTCTATAGTTGCAAAAGGATCTTATATATCAAGAGGTCATACCATCTTTGACTATTTGCCTTGTCTTATGAGTGTATTACTGCACTGCAAGGTGATATGATACATTATCATTTTTATTAAATTTATATCTTGGTATTATATTATCATTTGTTTTCTAAATAAACATATAATAATTAACTTTAATGCAGTATTTTATAATTTATTATTTGTATGACATTTAATCTTTTATATTCTGATTTCTTTTTTTTAGAGATATATCAGAAATATTAAGATAAAAACATCTTCTTGCCTGATCTTTTTTCAAATTTCATACAATGTTTTTGGTAATTTTCTATTTTCTATGATTTTTCTTCTTTGCAAGACTTTTAAATTGTTTTGCAGCCAACAATGGTCCTGCCAACCCGATTTGGTGAATCCCAATATTTTCATTCCTATCCGATCTACATTCTGATATGAATCTTTCAGACTATGGTTAAGATATTTTTTGGTAACAACAAGGCTCATAAATAGTGGCAATACTTTTAACAATTATTCCATGATCTCCTAGTCTAGTTAGGCAGCTCGTGATGTTAATCTCATTTATTCTTCTATTTGATTTCTCACATAATGTTCTTGCCATTTGTTTTATTCCCGACTTTGATTGTCTCATTAGCCGGAGCCATAGAAATTTTCATTTTCTCTGATACAATTCATATGTTTTTTACTTTTTCCAAGACAAAATGTCGGACATAAGAAATATAGTTTTTTGGTCTTTATAGACCTGAACCTGTGTAATTTTGTTTGATTTTTTTAGGTGTTAAACAAAAATTATAGTTGTTTGTATATTGTAAATAAATATCTGCTTAACAAAAATGATTTAATTTGTCTGCTAAGTGTCCTTGGTTGGAGTAAGTATATAGACTCAAAAATATTTGATTTCAGAATGTTTAGCAAAGGTTTCACCTTTGTGGGTTCAGTCTCATAGATGTAAGTTTCACATCTTTATCAGAAATTGTTCTTGGATTTGCGTTTATCTTTTATAATTCATGTAGTGTAAAATTGACTAGCATTCTTACATTGTATCTCTTCTTTGATTGCTGCAGAGTTTCTTTTCCAAGCACAAAACTGTTTGACGAATTGTGGAATGGATGATGAGTCGGATGTAGTAAGTGGTTGATATTTTCTCTAGCAGTATGTCAAACTTGGTTGTTTTGATGATTGTTTGATTAACATTTTGGTTTCTTAGCTGGCTGACTCTTTTGATGATATAATGTCTATAACAATTATGTTTAATCTTCTCTGTGTTGCTTTACTGATTTCTTCTTTTAATTTTATTTTGTTTCTGATGAATCTGAGTTTGCACGTAGTGACAAATAATTATGGTAATTTATTTGCATAATCGTCCTCATGCAAACTCGTTGGTGCCTTATGTCTCATGTGCTTTTGGGCATTTTTATCATTTATATACTCCCCGAATCATATGGCAATTTTATCATAAGTGAATCCTCTGATTCATACAATCAGATAAAACGTCCTGGATATGTTGGTGGACTAGAACTTGTAGGTACAAGTGCATAGGCTTTATCCAGTCACTTAGAGAGATCACAGAGCACTCCTTTCAAGTGCATAGGTGAGGTATCCTGGATCAAATCGTCTTTACTAGAAGGAAGAGAAAAAAATATTACTAACAGTCGGTAAATCCTTAAGAATTGACGTCATTAACCATCATCCCTTGCGCCTCGCGTACGTCAAAAAAACCCGTACAAGCCATATTATGGTCAATAAGCCATCCTTCGCATACTTATAGCAATCATCAGGATAAAGAGAAGGCAGTGTCTGTTAGAACTCGATGTTGCCCCACCACCACATTGTGGCCGTTGTTTCCAAGCGTGGCGGGCTCCACGAAAACGCTACGCCTCCGACCCATCCATCATCATTCCCCCCCCCTTCCCTACGACCCCTTCCTCACCGCCCCTCCCTCTCTCTGTGCCTGTTCTTTTCGGTGTTGTTGCCGTTGTAGTTGGTCGCCTTTGCTGTTATTGTTGTAGTTGTTGCGGTGGTTACACAGTAAGAGGAAGATGAGAAGGAGAGGTGCAGTCTGATGGGATAAAAGTGAGATTCTCTGCAAGTGATGGCGGTAGTTTCGCTTGAGCTTTTCTTGGAGATCTTTAAGGTCGGGTGTCGTGGTTTCAGACGCTGCCCTCCTCTCTCGTCTTCTCTCCTCTAATCCCCTCGCACGCACACGCGTATCGGGTGGGTGGCCCCTCTCTGTTCCTGCAAAACTAACCCCACCAACGACAAGTACGCAGAAACGCATGGAATGCTCCCTCTTCCTCTGATCACTATATAACCTTGCTTGCCTACTGCTACTCTTACCAAACTTGCTCTTGATTCTTACCGGATAAAGATGAGCATCCCAGTGAATGGCCACTCGGGCGTGCCGCCGGGCTTCCGCTTCCACCCAACCGAGGAGGAGCTCCTAAACTTCTACCTGAGAAAGAAGGTGGCGTGTGAGAAGATCGACCTCGACGTCATCCGCGACGTCGACCTCAACAAGCTCGAGCCATGGGACATCCAAGGTGTCGCCGACGCCCAGCTCTCTCTGATACTTTAGCTTGCTCTCTCTTGTGAACCAGAGAAGTGCACTTTCTGATACTTTCGCTTGCTCTCCTACACGCTTATTGAAGTTGCTATCGAATCTTGTGAAGCAGAGAAGTGCAGGATTGGGTCGACGCCGCAGAACGACTGGTACTTCTTCAGCCACAAGGACAAGAAGTACCCCACGGGCACTCGCACCAACCGTGCGACGGCGGTCGGGTTCTGGAAGGCCACTGGCCGGGACAAGGTCATCTGTTCCAGCATCAAGCGGATCGGGATGAGGAAGACGCTGGTGTTCTACAAAGGCCGCGCCCCTCACGGCCAGAAGTCAGATTGGATCATGCATGAGTACAGGCTCGACGATCGCTCCGACATGAGCTACCCACCCAACGTATGCAGTAGGGTTTTAGAGCTTGTCGATATAGTCTGCTTGCTTGTGTTCTGATTTCTTCTTGATGATCCAGCCTGCTTGCTTGATGGAAGAAGCTACAAACCAAGAAGATGGTTGGGTGATCTGCCGAGTGTTCAAGAAGAAGAACCATCATCATCAAAAGAGCGTGGAAAGCGCCACCAACTGCTCTTCTTCTTCTCTCTCCGCCGATGCCAAGACAGAGTGGCTGCACTCAAACGGCGACGGCATGTTGGGCCAAATCCTCCAATACATGGGAAGATCTTGCAAGGAAGAGAGACAAGATCTCAACAGTGAGAAGTTGATGAGGCTTCCACCTCTCCATAGCCCGACCCTTCCATGGTTTCCGGAGAACTACACCAACCAACAACTCGATCATCCATCCGGGTATCAGACGAGCTACGTACCGGACGCGATCCATGCCCTCGCGGGCACCGAGTCAAACATCAACAGCTGGGCCGCGCTCGATGGGCTTCTCGCGTCGGAGCTGGACGGCCAGGCGGAGGCGCTGAAGCCACTCCCCTGCTTCGATGACCCAAGCTTGGGTGTCTGCTCGCCTGCAACACTGTTCACCCCGGACATCCATCGCAATCGCGACAGGGACGACGGCGACGACGATCTGTGGAGCTTGGCGAGGCCAGCAACGAAGCACATCAGCCACGTTCCATACTAACGCGAAACCTTCGTTTTCTTCACGGTCTGAGGAAAACGAGTTTTGTCGCCCCAAACAGTATACATAAATAAGGTGAGTGAGTGGTGGTAGATGGCTCCTCCTGTAATATTTTACGGAGAGGTGGATGTTAGGAGAAGATGGAACTTTAGTTAGTGTAGTTTGGTGTGGCTTCGTTTCATCTCTGGCCGAGGAATTCCACGGCGATGGGGATCCATCGTTCTGTCTTGTCAAAGTTGGCGTCAGTCTGCTTTAAGAGAGGAGAGTGACATGAGAAGGGATCGCATGTGAAACACACACAGAGAAGCGTGCTTAGTGCTGCGTTAATTTAATTAGCTTTTACATGTTTCAGAATTTAACATGGTCTTAGAGTAACATGTGGAGCATCAGTCATTCCAACGTCACATCATCGTGATAGCGTGTTGTTGTCCCGTAAAAGAATCCCCAAACCAAACCAAAGTCAAATACCTTTTAGTATTTATTTGATATTTCTATAAAAAAATAATAACGGACTGTTGTGGAGTAAGAGAATAATAGCAAGATGTGAGAATCGCTCTGTATTTACGTCGATATTGATGTAGTTACCAAGTGACAAAAGAATTATCGATGCAAATGTCAAGTAGCACCGCTCTACATCTGCATCAATGACAATGTAATTGCTAAGCGACGAAAGGGCCATCAATACAAATGTTAAGCAACGTTGCTCAACAATTGCATCGACGCCGACGTGAATGTAGAATGACTCTTACCTCTTGTCGCTATTCTTCTCATCCATAATAGCCACCTATGGGCCCCCAGCGATGTTGTCGTCGGCCACCATTAACGTCGTTTGTTATTACTAATTAAAATATTAAAATTATTTTTTTATCATTTATTTTTATATTTTCGTTGATAAAATCGATAACGTTACGATTAATGAATCTATATATTTTATTTTTATAACTACGTTAATATACTTTTTTAAAATATAAATAATAAAATAAAAAGAATAATATATAATTAGCCCCAATTGTCGACATGCATGAGTCTACTAAGAAATGTATATGGCTCGACTGAAAGGTATTCTATTTTATCTCTCTTCCAAGGGGGGCAAATAAACTCTGCAAGTGGATCCAAACATATAGGAGGTAGCAGTCGTTCCAATGCTCGACAATCCCGCTGCGCCAATTCCGTCTCCCATAAACATCGTTCGCCCCATCTTCCCCTTCTCCTTTCCCATCCCGCATGAACGGTCTCCTCGTCCCCGTCCCCGTCCCCGTCCCCGTCCTTCCACATCAGAGGCCATCAAGAGGAGTAAGCGAAGACACCAGCCATGTCGATGTCGGAATGGGACTTCGCACGCGCTTCCGATTACAAGACCTTTCGCCAGACTAGCCGTGACCGTGAGTGCATCCTGCTTCCCGTTTTCCTTCCTGTAGACCTTTTTAGTTCTGGAAACTTGTCTATCTATTGCTTGCTTCTTTCAATCATGTGGTCACGAGAGGAGAATTGATGTTCATGGCGTATGGGATGAAGCTTGATGGCAATGAAATGGTTTTTGATTCGAGCTAATGATATCACTTGTTTGCTAGTGTACGAATACATTTTAATTGTTACCTTTATTCTTTCCATCCTATGTTGCCTGTTGGTCATTAGCATTTCGGAAACATGTTATTTATAACATTTTTTCAATTATGAGCTAACGATTGAATTGATGTTCATGATATGCGGGCTGAAGTTTGAAGGAAATGAGATGATTTGTGATACATGGGAATGGGATCAATAATCAAGTCTTGTGATGGTAGATTTATTTGCTGATATAGGAAGACATGACATGCTAACGTAATATAGATTCAAGACTAGATGCAAACCTATGGAGGTGTAAGATCATTAGGAAGATATTAGAAGCTGAAAGAAAGTGTCACAAAGAAAAGAAATAAAATCAAGAATTGCCATGTCAATCAGTATGTGCCGTTTAGTGTTAAATTGGTATGCTAGGACAATTTTTGGTCCATTTCAGACTTGCAGTTGGTAAAGGGGTGTGTTAATTGGAATAATATGGCTGGTCCATGCTGGTAAGCTATTAACACACTTGCAATGAAATGACAAACCCTTGTGTAAAATAAGGCCTGTTGGCAAGCAAAAGTAGACTTTTGATTAGAAGTGTATCATTGGGAACATGTCTTGATATGAAACTAGACCAATAAAAAGCACGTACTTCATGTCTGATATATGATCATGCATATCATGTGAGCCATAATAATGTAATATATACATTGTATCTTATTAAAAGGCAATATATGATAATAAGTCAAGTACTTTGTCAAGTCTAGCATATTTCCTACATCTTAACTCAATTGAAAAATACATATTAGCTTCAGTAATTTCAAAAAGAATATATCAAGTTTCAAAAGCAATGTGAACCCACTAAATAAATGTAAAAGCATATCAAGGATGATCTACTTGTCGTGACCATGTATGATGAGATAACTGATTCATTTACTTGATAAGCCTACACCATTGATTCAAAAGGTTTAAGTCTTCAATGGTAGTAGGCTTATCTAGCCTTATAAATCAATTCAAATTTTCTCTTATATTCATTATGGAACTAAACTTGGATGTTAGAGTCTTCCCCACTTATGCTTAATGTCTTTGTCAAGGTTTAAACACATCTCAGAATCAAATCATAGTACGACGCACGTGAGGCCCAGTTCAGTGATGGTTTTAAGCCATAATATGCCTCTAGTCCTATCTATGGATAATCTTTTGCCACTTGGATCCATCATCATATCTTTTGTCATGATCTGACCTGATGGAACAACTAAATTCTTAACTTGATACATCTGAACCACTGGTCCAATGTGCTTAACCTCAAGTTAAAAGTTTCCCTATAAATAAACTCAAATCTCCTCGTATATCCGTTGTGGCACTAAATAGGGGGTGATTCCAGATATTGCTGGCACTAAATTTAGGTAATTGCATAATCAATTTCATATATTGCTAACATGTCATTATATGCTACAGACCTTGTATAGTTTTAGTTAAGCATGTTGGGTTAGATTCATCAGCTGGTGTATATTATATTATGTGGATAAACCTAGGTTCCACACCTAACCAATGAGCTAGCTCTGAGACTGGTTGGCCAAAACAAGAGTGAACTTGCACTGGCTTGTAACTGACCTCTATCGAGCTATACCATATCTTGGATAAATAACAGCCAGTACCCCCCTTCAGTGGTTAATATACTGTGGTCCACCACTGGCTTGGGAATACCATCTATAGGTTGTGATCTGTGTCTCAATACTTTATTGAACAAGTACTCATTTCCCATGCTGAGCAGTACATACAGATACGACTATTTTTTGCTTCAACAAGCAAATTACATATCTGCAAGAACTTTTCAGGATAGATCTTCACAAAGTTATTTGCTAATAGAACAACATTGTTGTTTCCTTTATTTGAAGAAATAGTTCTCGCAAGTCTCAGTTATGTTGATTAAGAATTTCGAAGAAGGAAATGAGCTCAAACTTTAATGTGAAAAATCACTAGTTATTTGACACCTTAGTTTAATGATGAGTTGTTTTGAGAGGATATGCATATATGAAAAGAAAATGTAACTAGTAGAGACATAAGTTTTAAACTTTTAATGAATATGATAGTTGCTATGAATGTGTTGTTGTCTCTCCATGTTCTTCCACAGATAATCAATCTCTATCTTTCTTTTCTTTGTGTACAATAACAATCCTTTGACATCATTGTTTCTTCACTAACTTGTTTCTACTTAATATTTTTGGTGCAAGATTTGCATTCTTGGTACAACTTATTTGCTGCTATTGAGATTGTTCACTTTAATGTGTGAGCGCCATTTTACTTTATTCTATTCAAACATCTTACGTCTTGTTCTACTGCTCTCAGGGTTGTTATATGAAATGCTTCGATCAACAGACACAAGCAACTCAAAATCATCATGGAAGGTTTTATTAATTTCATCTTTTGTCATCAGTGGTTGTTCCTTCTATGTGCTCATGTTCTTGTGGTTCTTATACTGCTTAGTTCTTGTATTAATTAAATTTGAATTATTATTCTCTAAATCACAATATTATCATAATGCATTGAAATTATCAACTAAAGGACTCAACCTATATACACTAGGGCTACTTATGTTTTTCACTAAGATCCAAGAACTTTCTATTGCTTGCTTAAACTAAAATTCAAATTAATTTGGAGTCTCGTTCATGCTTTAACATTTAGGGGGAGAGAGGTGAACTCTTGTAAAGTTGTGTTTTATTTGAAAATTTCCAAGTGCTCTCATTTCATGATCTGAGAAGTGAGAAATTAGTAGAATATTCAATTAAATTATCTTGTTTATTTAAATTTATTGTATTTTAATTCCTGCAAATTGAGAAATTAGTAAAACAGTTTTATCCAACTAGTTCACCTTGATTTAGTTTATGTTGCACTATATAGTATTTTCTCATGTTGTATTTCCATCATGATGATTAAGCTATTTTTTATGCTTGGGTGCATAGCATCAACTATGCACATTGTTTTGGTGAAATAGCTTGCTGATAATGTCATTGCACCGAAAGATCAAAGCCAAATCATTGCATATATGCATTTTTCTGCCTTCAGCTCTCAGTTAGCTTACCTAAACCAAAATCTCTAGGTATAATTTCTACTAACTAGAAATCCAGTGTTGACAGTATGCAAGATTTTCTAATTAGAAGATGTATATTACTAGGTATGCATGTCTTTGAACATAGCATCATAATATGTAGCATCTCTATTGACCTCCAATGCCTTCTACTGAAACAGTAAATTAAAAATTCCATATCTGATGCTTGGAGCACCTTTTCTGGTTTTAAGCTTTGAAGAATATTCTTGAAGATCATTATCTTCATCAACACTTGTGCTATTCCTTCTAGTCATTCTTACTTGTTGCTTGTGTGCTTCACTCTTCTATGACTACATGATATCTTCATCTTGAAGCACTTAACATGATTTCACCCCTTTTATGTCACTGTTTATAACCCGAAGAAGTTGGTTGTTTTGCAGATACTCATCATGGACAAATTCACCCTGAAAGTCATGTCTTTTTCTTGTAAGATGGCCGACATCACAGATGAAGGAATTTCATGTGGGTTATAAGTTGCTTATGAAAATATTGGGAACTTATCTTACACTTCTTTTGTTGTTTCAGCTCGAACATACTCTTTTTTTATAATACGTTGGTGCTTTTCTTGCAATTATAGGTAGAATTATGTATCATGAATTTCACAAGCTGTGATAGATGGGCTAAATACAGATTACCTCTTGTAGTTAGCTACATTTATCGTTCCGATCCCTACACTTTAAAAAGTTGTATTAACATCCCTATAGTTACAAAAGTGAAATATCTAGGTCCATTTACCCTAACGACGTCAGTTTTACTAACGAAAACATGAAAATAAAGGGCAAAAAGATAGTTTTAACATTCGATGACAGATGACGTCGGTGGTGGTAGATGACGAAGCCACTGGCGTCGACATTGACGCAATTGCCTGACCGCCCCCAATGATGATAAGGTCCGCTCTCACCGCGACGCCACCCGCCTCCACGAGGAGCGCACCATTGACCTTATCGCTGCCCGTCCTGCGCCACTTTGCACCTGCATCTGCATCAACGTCGACGTAGATGGTGGTGGTCGCCACGACATCTATGGCAAAGATGGTGGTCGCCTCGCCGCTGACCCGTTGGGCAGATCCTAGCCTCTACTTTTGAAGCTGGGGTTGTCGGAGCTCCTACCACTCTCCTCGTTGTTGCTTCAGTTCCAGCACCACCTCTTGGCGAACGACTCTTTCGTTGCTTTGCATCTGCATCAGCGTCAACGCAGTTGCCGAGCAGTAAAAGGGCCACTCGACATTTGCATCAGCATTGACGCAGATGTAGAGCGGCGTTGCTCGGCAATTGCGTTAGCGCCAACGCATATGCAATGCCGACGCAGATGCAGAGCGATGAAAGGGCCGTCGACGAGAGGTGGTGTCGGAACTAACGCAACAGCGGGGAGAGTGGTAGGAGCTCCGACGACCCCAGCTTCGGATCGAGGTTGGGATCCGCCCAACGAGTCAGTGGCGAGGCAGCCACCACCATCTATGCCGACGCGGACGCAGATGCAGAGTGGCGCGGGGCAGGCAGTGATGACGTCAGCGGTGCACTCCTCGTCGAGGCGGGTGATGTCGCGGTGAGAGCTGACCTTATCATCGCTGGAGGCGGCCAAGCAATTGCGTCGGTGTCAACGCCAACGACGTCGCCATCTGCCACCATCGACATCATCTATCATCTATCATCGAATGTCAAAACTATCTTTTTGCTCTTTATTTTCGTGTTTTCGTCAGTAAAACTGACGTTATTAGGGTAAATGGACCTACATGTTTTACTTTCGTGGATGCCAATACAACTTTTTAAAGTGTAGGGACCGGGATACCAAAGGTAGCTACAGAGGGTAATCTGTATTTAGCCCATCTAGATGGCTCATACCATGATGTCTTGGTATCTGCATAGACCTTTGTGTTGTACCTAGGTTGTGTTGTATATCTCATTTTCTATTCTGTGATTGGTTTGTGCTGACTGGCATGGACTGTTGTATACTATGCTAGTGTCTTACTCTTATCAATAGAGGTTGTGGAAGCCAAAAATAAACTCCTATTCAGTTATTATCTAGCTAATTATTGCTACAAAGTCTGCAAACTAAGTGTTTCCTAATTTAGAACTATTTGTGCTTTGTTATATCTAAATGCTATTTAAAACTCATCATTTGGTATTTTTACAAGTGAATCTTGGTGGCCTTTGACATGCTATTGCACTTTTGTGGCTAACACATACCAGAGTTCAATTATATTTGAGTTTCTAACAATAAAAAATATGCATTGTTTAAATAATTGGATGATCTACACTTTTATTTGCAGTGGTGGAGGATATTTACAAGAGAAGGGAGCCTTTACCTTCAATGGATGCTATATATTTCATTCAACCATTAAAAGAAAAGTAAAGGTTCTTTATGGCTATTTGTTTTTATTAATGTCAGTTAATTCTACAAGTACACCTTCCCACATTTGTAGTTATTTATGCATACCTTAATTTACACACCATTTTTCCATTTTATTCATAACTCTTGCACTCATTATATATATATCATCCAATTAGAAGGAACTGAATTATTATTTCTTTAGCTAGGTTCCCTTTTTCCTTTTGGGTTGTTATTGTTTCCTTTTTAAATGTTGTACACTCCCTTGATCAACAACAACTATTAAGGTACTCATTTTTGTCTTCAGATGTGAAATGCTATTTATTCTGTTTGATCATCTTAGCGTATTTTTCATTTATTAATAACCATTTTGGCCAAAAAAACATTCTTTATATCAACTGCAACATGATTTTTAAATACCTGTGCATGGTGTTGGCAACCATTCGGATTGGTATGGTACCAGTTAACTAGATGGTACACCAACCTTTATGTGCCACATTATCAGAATAAAGAGTAAAAAATAATTACCCACTGGTATCATCCTATACGGGCTGTTACAGGACTGATCGACAAATACTAGTTGGTATTTACTGTTCTGACCAGTGTTTAAAACCAGTTGCCAAGTTTATTATGCTCTTCATATGAAGCTTAGGAGATAGGCCCACCTTTTTCACTTTCCTTAAGTCAGTGTTATTACAAACTAACCATATTTTGGCCCAAGAATGTCCTTTAATCTGTACCTGTATGTGTAGATCAACAGCAAGTTTTATCAATTCTTTTAAAGGCAAAACCAGTACAACTGCAAAGTTATTTCATCTAAATTATGTAATAAGTTCATGATAAAGACAATAAGTGAGAAAAAGAATGGAGAAAAGGAAAAAAGCAGGGAGAAAAAAATAAAAGACACAGAATACGAGAGAGAATGAATTCTCTTAAACTCTTAATCTAGATACATTTTTTTTTTGTCATAGCTCTGATAAATCTTGTTCCTAGAAGTTTGAACCAGGGATTCAAATCTCGAATCATACCACTTAGTATGGGCGGTATGTACTAGTCCGCCAATTGACCAGTACACGGACCGCCCGCTACCGGGTGGTATCAACTAGCGGACAGGACAAGGAGCACAACGACGAGGAAGACGAGGCTGCGTCGCTCGTTGGACGTGGCAGGACATGAAGAAGCGCTTCGTCAGGCAGAATGCGGTAGGGGGCGGAGGGATCGTGGCCACTGTGGTTGGGGAGGTTGCAATTGATGGCGAAGGAAGGGATCTCGGCCTAGGTTGGACTGCTGCTTCCCTTTCTCGCTCTCGCCATCATCTTGGTCTTCTTCCTCGCAGTCGCTGAGGGCGACAACAACGGGGGAGCGGGAGATGAGCTCACCCTGGGTTGGATGCTTGTCGGATCCGGCTGTCACAAGAGCACTGCAGAGTGCCTTGCGAGGGATGAGTTCGAGCTAGGGATGGAGGCGACCCGTCGCATCCTCGCATGCTTCGCCATCACCCCCTTTCTATCTCTCGAGATGGAAAGTGGGTAATAATTTTTTATATATGTTACTCATATATGTTTAAACATATACCTAGGGGATATTTTTATAAATAATTTTTATAGTAATTATTAATCATAAACATATGTATATAAAATACATATGTTTATGAGTAAACATATGTATATAAACATATTTTTATATACATATGTATATACAAATACATATATCGAGCGGTATGCTAGGGCATACCGCTTGATATGCCATACCATACCAAGTAAAGCTTGGTACATCGGTACGGTACAAAATTAAAAGCCTTGGTTTGAACTATAAGCCAGCTGGGATTTTGTAGGTGTCGTATTTGGTGAACAACAAAGTAAGAAAGAGCTAGTTCAGCCAAAGTGTTACAGTGAAAGGTTCGTGCTTGAGTAAACCATATCCCTGTCATACTTATGGGTACTGGCCCAGGTCCCAGCCTCAATTGAAGATTTTGAACTGTAAGACAGTGCTAATGGGAATGATGCATGGAAGATGATTAGCATCATATCCTCAGTTGGAGGCTAAAATAACCATTCTACCTTTTTCTTTGCTTCTGTTGTGCTCTTTACAAATGGTTAATCATGTCTGTTTCTAATATTCTTTCTACGGGGATTGATACTGTAACTGAAATATGCTACCATTATACTTTGCCCTTGTAATTTTAGTTTGCATGGATGCTATTAATTTTATAATCCTGTTATGGTCAGCCATCTGTTTCCACATTATAATAAAAATATGCTTCTAAATATTTATAATTGAATCTTGCAGTGTTATCATGTTCCTGTCCGACATGTCTGGAAGATGTCCATTGTATAAAAAGTATGTTTTTTGTTACCTAACACTTTTATAGTTTTTGACTGCTACTATTACCTTCATTTATTTTAAGATTTCTGTTACTTTAAACTTATCTGATTCACTGTTTCAGGGCATATGTTTTCTTCAGTTCACCTATACCTAAGGAATTAATAGCTTACGTCAAAAATGATACAAGCGTCTTACCCCGCATAGGTGCTCTTAGAGAGGTTATCATTCTCAATTGTCAATCTGCACTGCTAATATATCATGCTTGACTGGTTTTTGGTTTTTAATTGAAGTTAAAATATGTTTTTTTGCTCTTACTGATTTTTTTATGCTTCATTGTGGTCACTTCAACATTTGCAGATGAACTTAGAATATTTTGCGATTGATAGTCAGGTAATTGTTTGTTGTTACCATTTTCTAGTAGTTCCCATTTCTTTCATAAAACCTAGTATGAATGTCATAATGGTCCTTATCTTGTGAGAAATTTTTCTAGGAAGTTTTGGTTACTTTCTTGTATTAAGTTGTGAGTGAAATGCACCTTCACATTTTTATTTATTAATCTTCTTATGCTACATTGTGTAGGCCTTTTTGACTGACCAAGATATGGCTTTAGAAGAGTTATTTGGAGAGAAAGCTGAAAATTCTCGTTATAATGATAGTTTGAATACAATGGCTGTACGGGTTGCTACTGCATTTGCTTCTTCAAAGGTATGACAGTTGAACTGCTCATTGCTGCTTTTCTTTTATATGTTCTCATTTGTTGTAACCATGGTCAGTTGTTAACTTATGACAATAGATACATATGGGGTCCTTTGCCTATTTGACAAGCACTCAAACAGCCATGACCACTGTGATTTGAGGGTGGTTTAGTCCTTGGAACTTTTTTTATCCTAGTAAGGTTTGTGAATACTTGCCTACAGAAATATTGCTTTAAAAGCATTCGGGCATGCTTCCAATGCTATTATTATTTTCAACAATAAAATAGTTTCTATTCACCAAATTCTCTCGATAGAGCTCTCCTTCCCCTCAAAGACAAGTGGTTCCTACTAGAAGTATTTCCTTTCATTGAGATACACTTCACTAGTGTTCAAAAAAACCTGATAGAATGGTATATACCAACTGGTATTATTTGACCAGGTTGTGGCACTTGGATTGGCAAAATCTCCAAACTGAACTTCACTCAAATTGGAGGCCAATCTCAAGCAATTAAAGGTTTATTTTTGGGAAACTATTTTTTTTAACATTAAGTTTGAAGCTCAAAGTTGAAACTATTTACCTATAGTTTATAACAAGTTCAATTCTTATGTCTTCTTGTCTTATATGCTCAATATTTCATAAATGTAGGGTTATATTTTAGACATTTTGGTTAATGGATCCAACCAAGTTCCATATATTACGGTTTGGACTTTTGATAAGTAAGAATCTAGGGGTCTAGGCCAATTCTTTGCAGATGTAATCTAGATTGTTACCACATAGACTGTATCATACCCAAGTGGATTGCTACCACATAGGCCAATTCTTTGACTGGATCTCAGCCAGATTTATATAAATCTTGGCAGGATCTAAGTGGATTCAATCATTCAATCATACTTGAGTAGATCTATTCTAGATTTTTATAGACTGTATCATACGAGTATAATCTTTGGTTCTTTTGCATGATCCTATCAAACATATATTAGTTAGTCATAACAATTTTCTCTATGTTTGATATATTCTCTTTGTTGTTTTTCTTTTATATATATATATATATATATATATATATATATATATATATATATATATTCAGTTTCTTTTTTTTTGGAAATATGTATTATTAAAATGAAGGTAAAACAATTTTCTAGCATAGAATATCTTTTGTTTCATTAAATTTTATCTGTTCTTCAAATTTTATATTTTCTTTATAGTATACAAAATCTTGAATTATGTTCTTAGCCAATTGCCTCATCTTGAGCCTGACATCAATATCAATTTTGTGAACTATGACAACTACTCATCAGAAAACCAAACATAAACCAAAGACTAAAGTGACATCTAGAGATTTTGGGGCTACTGACTTTAAGGTCAATGTTGTGTCTCATACATATTGGTGATATTGGTTTCTCTTCATATACTTCCAATTGTTCACCTAATATGGATCAAAAAGCTCAGCAAATTAGATGATGTCTCATGGTTATTTTTGGTGGATTGTTTCCCTATTATATGTCTCTACATTGTGCCAGCAAGGCAGTTAAGTAACCTTTACCTTTTTTAATACCCAGACAAGTTCTTAACCTTGGCTATTTGAGGAGGAAATTGGCCTTCAATTCTATCTCAATTTACAAAAGCAATTTTCTTGATTACTGCAACTGCCACCATTCTTATTTTTATGACATCATGTCAAGTCTAGTGACCTTTGATTTTCTATGAATATTATCTCATTAGCCTCATAGATTATTGCATATGATAGAATTTGCTTTTTGCTATTTCAACATTTCATTGCTACAAGCTTTCCTTGGTTGTTAGGTGGTACTTGATTCTTTGGGGATGATTTTCAATATGTCAATTGAGTCAGTGTGATCGACCTAAATGAATCCAATCTTTTTACTTTTCAGATGCTATTTGTCAGATGTCTTTCTCCTCGATCATGTGCCATATCATTTGCTATCCTCTCACATGTGATGCCACTTTGAATCCATATCATTTTCTATGTTGAAACATGCATTCTGTAGTATTCTTATGAAAATTTTTGAAGTTATGCAAGCCACAATACCACATCCTTTTTCATCAGAAATTCTGCTAATATTGCTTCTGTTAATGCTTTGTTTTCTTCCAGAGGCTAACATAAAATCTTTTAGCACAAGCTGTTCCAATATGGATAGCCTGGAAACACATGATAATAGTTTATTTATATTTGCTTTTGATAATAATAATGTTCATTTTGCTATCATCTTATCATATTTACATGTTTCTCAGGAGTTTCCTCATGTGCGCTACCGAGCTGCCAAGTGCACTGATGAGTCTGACATGACAAAGATGCGTGATTTAGTACCCACAAAGCTTGCTACTGCCATCTGGAACTGTTTGTCCAAGTACAAATCTACAGTCCCTGAATTTCCCCAAAAGGAGACATGCGACTTACTTATCGTGGATCGAACAATAGACCAGGTACAAGCAAGATGAAATTAGATTACCTAGATGTTTGATTGCTTAAAAGACTTATGGTCTTGATATGAGATGTTTTGCTATTTTGCCTAATGGTGAAAGATTGCACCTGTTATACATGAATGGACTTATGATGCCATATGCCACGATTTGCTTGAAATGGATGGAAACAAATACGTATATGAGGTAAATAAATTGTAGGGAGTATATACTTTTGAATGATCTTGTTCTTCTTTGTTTAGAAATTTATCTTAATTACTCATGTATTATCTATTTATTAACAGGCACAAACAAAGGCAGGAACAGTAGAAAAGAAGGAAGTTGTCTTGGAAGATCATGATCCCGTATGGCTTGAGCTTCGTCATGCTCATATAGCTGATGTAAGTGGCAACATTTCTTTTAGCAGATATTGCTAATTTATGCTGCTTGCTAACAAATAAGAATACTAGGCAAGTGAAAGGTTACATGAGAAGATGTCCAACTTCACATCAAAGAACAAAGCTGCACAACTTCACCAAAGTTCAAGGTGAATGGGAAGACTTTATCCTGAGGTTTTCTTTTATATCTATTGTTATGTAAGATTATATTCACATCAATCACTTACTAGTACAGCATTTTGAATAAGTATTGTACCATAGTGCAAGTGATTAGGAAAAAACATGTTTATTGTGTTCTATGGCGAATTCCATGGGTCACATTAAGCATTGAGAATAAGTAGTTCTCATGGTAAGAAATGAAGTGAGATTCCATATTAATGATATTTTTGCTAGTTGAAAATGGATCTTTAAGGAAGTTCTATTATGATATTCTCGGAGCCACAAATGAAGACATGGTAACCTTTAGTTTGGTTGTCCTTGAGATATTAAAGCTCTTTGGTTATGGCTGCACCTTAAATTTTTAGTTATCATACGGTGGTCTAGGAAGCTTAACTTTATGCATCTTTTGTTTTCCATTATACATTAATAACCATTTTGTTTGTTACACAGAGATGGTGGTGAGATTTCAACTAGGGATCTACAGAAAATGGTTCAAGCTTTGCCACAATACAATGAGCAAATGGAAAAGCTTTCTATTCATGTCGAGGTAAATATACTGTGTTATTTTTGCTTACTAACATCTAAATTGAAATATTTATTACACCCATTTAGGTTTTATGGGACTTAATAATCCTTCCCTGTTGGCAATTCAGTTAATCATCATGGTCTTGAGTGTTTGATGGTTATAAAACAGTGGGATAAAAAATCTAGCTTTATCAATATAAAGATCTTTGGGATTAATGAGTAGTGTTACAAGATTTATTCACAAAGAATGAGTGCCTACATGGGAAGATTGAGCAGAAACATTTAAAGGATAAGGCCAGAATCAAATAAGATAGTTTTGAGTTTTGACAACTTTAAAGAAGACCTAGCATGCACCAATATAGAAAGGCTAACTAAGTGCATGGCTAGGAACAATGAAAAAGTATGTAGTAGCTACAAAACCAAAGTGATTCTTATCCACAATGTAGCTAAATGGTGATAATATCACCTTTCAGCTGGACCCAAGTAATGACATTATGGTCTTCTCGTTATTCCATTTAGTTGTATAGATCTTGTAAAATAGTCCCACAATTGACATCTTAGGTTGAACCTTACTGTTTCCATACAGAATATGCAGAAATTGATGAGTACTTTTGGCCAGTCTTTTTGGTAACATGATCTTATATAGGTGATGAATGATACTTAAAAACGTAATTATCCTTGAATGCAAGATACAATTTAGAAGCTTCAACAACAAATGGATCACTATTCCATCGGTCTGGAATTTTCTTTTTTGTACTAAGTCGGAATAGGTTTTTTTATAACTTCAAGATTCAGATAATCTCTTCATTAATTGATAGGGCTCTCTGTTATCTTCAATAATAATCTAGTTGAACACCAATCTTCACATACAATAATGGAGCAGTTGCATATAATCGTGCTATAAAAAACTGCAAAATTAGTGGAGATAGAATAGAAGGTAGTAAGTAGATAAAACACCTTAAATCTCAATAACTATCTATTTCTGTGACCTGAGCAATTATGCATGGAACTTTGCAATGTGAAAGGAAGTTAGTAAGGTGAGCATCAAATGTCGATGAAAAAAAACCAGGATACAACTGAAATATGCTAAAAATTAAGGGTTTAAAAATTGCTTACTTTTGTTTGCGAAAATTCAAAGCTATGATTTTTGTTTCTGTATCATTTATTTGCATGTGACTGAAGTTATAATTTTGCTTCTGCATTTTTCAATTTAGCAATAAAGGTTTAGTTGTTCTGGAGTGCTTTTTAGAAAGGATGTGGGGTTTCTGCACAAAATTGATTAACTTTCTCCTTTGCAGAAGAGATCGGTGTATTTGTGCATATCTATTTAAATAAACAATTAGATATCTCTTAAGACAAATGGGTTAGGATGCACAAAAAAGTAAGTCTGTTCTCTGTGTGTCTCTTCCTAGTCATGACCATAGTATTTGTTCTTTCTATTTTGTGCGCAATTACTTTCCATTTGAAAAGAGAGAAATTACCATGAAGTAATTAATTCCCATTGAATGGGAAGTCACATGTCAAGTGTTATGCTGAAAGAATCTGACTGAGTGAAACATGCATGTATGTGATGACCAATCTGTCTCTGTCTAATTAGCTAAATTTGTCCAGATTGCGGGAAAAATTAATACGATGATTAGAGAAGCAGGTCTTCGAGAAATTGGACAGTTAGAACAAGATCTTGTCTTTGGAGATGCAGGGGCAAAGGAAGTAATTAGTTTCCTGAGGACAAAGCAGGTTGTGTGGAGGATTAGGATGACAAAACATATCTGTTAATGATATGATCAAACAGTATAGTATAATTCAATGCTTTACTCACTTTTTGCAGGATACCAGTCCTGAAAATAAGCTAAGGTTATTGATGATTTATGCAGCCACTTACCCGGAGAAGTTTGAAGGTGACAAGGGGATGAAGCTGATGCAGGTTAGTAATATTTCATGCTATTTTTGCTCAAAATATATTTATTAATCGAAAGATATTTCACTCACCACTTATATCAGTTAGTATGCTGCGATTCCGACTAATTTGATTAAACATGACCCTAGGCCCATCATAATCTTTTATGTGACTTTGTAATTTTTGTTTACTCAAAACATACTTCAGCCACGACTTTAATCAGTTGAAAGTGTGCTATGTTTCTTACTGATCATATTGTTTTATTAAACGTGACCACAGGCCTAAATACTTGCTAGTTATTGGTCCTGGGTATTATCATTTTCCTGAAATTGAATAAGTTCTTAACATGTTTTATATGTTCTTACCTAATTCTTTTTAGATCTGATTATATGTTCTTGCTGTAAGAATTGATGTATATGTTTTCTGGTTTATGTATGTATTGAACAATTTTTATATGAACATGATATATAGATGTGTACCTTGAGTTTTGTACCGTCCACATTGTGTCAGTCTGTCAGACATCAAACTCTAAAACATCATTCTGTATACAAATATTTTAGTCTTAGAAAAATATTATACTCTGATGCTTGGTCAGAAGGTTTCAAGAACTAAATTATCTTTTATTAATTGTGCTAATCGGTCAGTTGGTAACTTGACACGTATTAGTATGGAAGCTTAATTATCTCTTTCAGGAAATTTGCTACTGAGAGTTGACACATTGAAATATGTTACAATCTTTAAAGTTTTCTTGAAACCATATTTATATTTCTTATCCTAGTTTTCAAAAATGTTGCAAATGGATAGGCATCATTTTCTGATAAATAGTGGTAATATATATTATTCATACATTTCCTTGAGTAGGGTTGAACTAAATCCATCCATGCGTAGCTGTAATTCATTTGCCATAGAGACACATGCTATATGCCTATCCTTGCAAATGACAACACAGTTATAGTCAACAGAATATGAATAGTTGCAAAGTCACATTGAAGTATGAGCCTTAGCACTAAAATAAGATTCCTTCTTTGCAACTTGGGTCACTATGCCTCGAGTCATGGAAACAGCCTCTAGCTTGCTACGATAAGGGTCTGTATGTTGACCCCTCCACAGATCCCTCCTGGTGGGAGCCTCATCCATTGGGCTTCCATCTCTATGTTTATCCTTTTAAACTCAGAATACAACTATGATCAACATGAAGAACAGTAACCTCTCATGATGTAGGACAACCCTAAAGGGGATGCTTAATGTAAGGAAAGAGATGGTTGGGTGGGCAATAAATAGGAAAAAGTGCTAGAGAGAGAGAGAGAGGGAGAGGCAAGAAACATCCAATTTGCAGAAATATTAATGTAAGCAATAAAGAACAAAGCTAGAGTTCAATCACATACCAAGATCATCAAGGAGGAGTGCTTTAACACCCTTCTAGTTGACTTTGGATGTTGAGAGATTGGTTTATGGATCTCTGTTGCAAAATTACTGAGGATAGGAGAGGAGATGAATGTAGGAGATAATCTTAGACTCGCTCCAAGTCCTTTGACTCACATTGGGTGGGGGGATTGTGGCCTTGCACTGCTCACACAACTTATGGGAACTAAGCTATTATTTATTCAAAGACTGATGATCCTATTACAATGCTTCGCCTCTTTATATAGTCCACAAATACTAGAGGAAAATGAAGTAACAAATAAGGAAAAAAATAAAAATCACATTGAAATGATTGAGTACATTGTATTTGGTCATGTTTTGAGAAGATAGGATTCCGAAATATTCTTGTAAAATAATCTTCCTTCTTTGTGCATGATGTTCTTCCTTTCTTGTAAGATAATGATTCTGTAGAATTATCTTCCTTCTTTGTGCATAATGTTCTTTCTTTCTTTCTTGCAAGATGATGATTCTTACAATATTCTCTTATTTATTTTTTTGTTCTACTTTATTGTCAATCTAGAAAATAAGATACTAATTGTGTAGGATGTTGTCACATGATAACCCTCAAATGTCAATTGAACCCGAACAAGAGTTCACCATCTATCCAAAGTGATTTGATTCGACCCTTTTTCTTTCCATGACTTTGAAATATAGCTTGATTTCCATCGTCTCAGGGTACACAAGTATCAAAGAAAATGCAGCATTTGCAGCTTGGATGGTTTTGATGCAATCTCACTTGTGCATCTAGGCTAGATCCACAAGGATCAAAATTAGATCATAGCATGGTTTCGAGTATTTTGGTTGGATCCAAATGGATCGACAAAATTTTTGGTTGTAATTATTTATAAAAGCATGTATAGCATTCATCTATAAACTTCAGAAACCAACATATAATTTCCATGAAATCATGACCTTGAGGAGAAAGAATCATAAGAATATAACATCATTCAAAAGAAATTAAATGATTAATTTTAAATCTGGTGTTTGTTTTTATCTTTTTGGTTGACCAATGATATAATTTTCTTGAAGTGAACCTTCAACTCCTTGAGATTAGCCCTGGATCTGAGACAAATGAAGTTTGGATAGTGAAATTGAGAATATTTGGTGAAGAAGTGGGGAAAGATTGAGTTGAAATTGAAGGGTGAGGAAAGAGCCTAACAGATTCTTTTTTAGATATGTTACTTCCAGTTTTGAACTTTTGTCCCGTCCAGTTTTGAACTTTTGTCCCGTCTGCATATCTGTCCCTTGTTGGATCACTAATAACTGAACTGTATCTCAAGGACCACCAGTAACTGAACTGCTTAAATTCCTTTTTAGCTTTTAGGATCTCAAGAAAGCTTGTGACTATATGACATATGCATGATACTGCTTTATAGCACACCAAGTACATTCACAAATCTCAACATTATCAAAACATGATGCCATATTTTCATTTTTGAGTTGAATATGGGTTGTGTAGGCAAACATGTTGAACATATGTTGCTCTAATTAGCACTTCAATTGTTGATGGGTACTAACTACGTGTTAATCACTCCAGTTAGTAAGTTGATCACTCTACTAAGCATGATAATCATGAAAACTTTAGTGGATGTTGCTGAATGTTACAGTGAGCATATTGATCATGATTATTCTTAATTTCGTGGTTTCCATAGTGGAAGAGGTTGGCATCGTTACTTTATGCCTTATGAGGGCAAACAATGGCCTGCTGGAGGAATGTAATGGTCATGTGAGTAACTTGGTTTCCTTACCATAGCCCTATCAAGCAAATGGCCTTGGTTACATTTAACAAATATATAACAGGCATCTGTGGCAGAGACATATAAGTTAGATTTCTAAGAATTTTAGGGATGCATAGGATATTTGCAATTTTGAATTGTATATAGGATAGAGCAGTTCTCAGGGGTGCGGCAGACGTTTCCTCATATGAGAACTCATTATAATGAAGTGGTCTTGGAGACATGCCTAATTTCATCATTTTATGTGCAGCAAATAATCACCCTCAACACAATATTGAACATTTTCCCTTGGTGGACTTCCTAATTTAGAATGGTTACAACAATGTGTACTATAAAATTATTTACTTGATCCTCAAATATATTAACAAAGGAACAGTTTCATTATATTTTATTTGAAATTTATACATTTAGGTTGGCTTCTGAGTTTTCTTGAATACTGTAAATGAAACTTCTTGATATATATCCTGGAAGATCCATAGATTTGGATAAGTAGCATCATACTCGAGGGACACCTAGCCATCTTATTTTACATGTATCTCTTTTTCTTTTGACTTGGCTACCAACCTTTTTCCCTATTCTTTAGTATGTGACATGTTTGGTGATTATTTGTTGGTTTTGATGACTATTCTGTTTGTGCAATATATTATAAGAACTTAAGCTAAAATAGTTGTGAAGGTTGATGAGCTTCCAAGGTAAAAATTTTTCGCTCTTCTTGTCTTCTTATTTCAGCTGGCAAAATTATCAACTGACGATATGAAAGCTGTAAATAACTTGATGTACTTGGGACAAATAGATTCCAAAAAGGCATCAGGGGCAGGTTTCTCTCTTAAATTCGATGTTCAGAAGGTAAAGTTCTTGGAGACTAGAAAAAACATGCTACAATTTTTTTTCTGGGTTATTTCTTACAGGAAAACAAGTAAGATTGCTCCAAAGTGTTATTAGTAGTATGTAGTTTCTTTTTTAATTTGTAACTGATTGCTTAAATCTGTACTTTACATCAATCAGAAGAAACAAGCAGCAAGAAAGGAAAAGAATGATGAAGAGGAAACATGGGCACTGTCACGATTTTATCCCGTGATAGAGGTACACTTAGAATCTATAGAGGAAACCAATTTATTCTATTCTGATGTCATATATGGTCAGCATTCATTTGAATTTATTAGATGATTAGCTGTATGCTGTTGTAGTGACAATATCAACTAGAGAGTTAAAATGTTGAGGTGAAAAGTCCAAGAGTGTGATGATATATAACATAGGAAAATTAAAGAAAGTAGAATGAGGTGTCTTTTATTTTTATTTTTATTTTTGTACAATACTTAACCCTTTTGTGGATGCTTCATTTATGACAAGCTAGTGGACAACTATCTAATCTCAGAGAAAAAATGTTAATTTGCTAACTCTCCATCGAAGGAATTGTTCGTCTATACTTCCAAGGAACTAAGCTTCATTTCTTCTATAACTTCTTTCAACTTGGAAAGTGGAAAGTGGAAACCACAATCTTTTTTGTATTACCATTCAAACTTCCATTTGGCATGGTAGTGTTCAGCATAACACACAACATAGCTTCCCATAGGAATATGACATGATCGATTGAAACATAGCTACGGATGATATACTTGGAAACAAGATCGATTGAACCGGACTAAAAGGCTTGGGACTAGTCATGTAAATAATTTTAAAATTTAAAATATAGAATATGACAGAAACACCAAAACATTAAAAAAATTAATAATGAAAAATTAAAGTTGCTATATGATGAAAAATACTTCTACTTTCATTATTTATATAAAATAGCTTTTAATAAAATGAAAATGACCTGTACAAAATATAATAAAAATTATTGAAATCAATTCATTAAAAGTAAAATAACAGCTATTTCTTAAAAGTTAAATATCAATTATGATGGACAAAAATATTACTGTAGCAACAAGTACTATATTGGATAACATACGTAATACCAGAAGATCCACCACCTAGAAATTTGAATAAAAGTAATGGACTACACTATATACTTGATATATCTGTAATCATTATTAAGGTTAGGGATTAGCTGATACAAAGACAAACAAAGAATAAAAAAAATGATGAAAGTATTCATGGCATTTTAATTATTCATGAATCCCAGGTGATTATTTTGTTTTTTTTTTATGACACATCTCTAATTATATAAGATGTTCAGGGCTACTCTTTAACCTCTTTTTTTTCTCTAAATATGTATCCTTTATTTTATGAGACATGGACTATAAGTATTATGACAATTGTGACAAATGGCAACTGTGATGGTTGCAACAAATAGCAAACATTATAGTGGTAGCATCTACTTCATTTTATAATCTCAATCATAGGTTTCTTTTTCTTTTTTTCTTTTTCCTCTTTTATTATCTCATATTTTCTCTTCTCCTTCCCCTCCTTCCACTTCTCCCTTCTTTCCTTCTTTTGAGATTGTTGAATCAACTAACATGTGTGAAAACTGGCCAATTCCAATTAAATTTGATCAATTCTAGTCAACTTCAACCTTTATATGCCCAAAATATCTCCCAAAATTAAATTGGTCTTGGAAATCTTATTACGGATTGAGCATGTCATGTTGCAATCAGACAATACTGCAAGCTAAGACAATCCACCTTACAAGTATAGCAACAACTACTGCCCTGATAAAAAACTAGTAAAATGGACTGACAAATTGGCCTAAAACAAATCAATTTTTTTTTAAGTTGTACACTGGAGCATTTCCTATTGTACTGTAAGAATTTCCTTTTCCTTTTTCTTTCAGGAACTAATTGAGAAACTAAGCAAAGGTGAACTATCTAAGGATGAGTATCCATACATAAATGATCCAAGTGCTACTGCTCCTGCTGCATCAAATAATGCATTAGCCCGGGCATCTACAGCTCAGCCTGCCCACTCCATGAGATCCAGAAGGACTGCCACATGGGCTAAGACTCGGAACTCTGATGATGGGTATTCAAGGTATGGATGGAAATGTTTTAGCCTCCAAAATGGTATCTTTGTTTACAAGGAACAAAACAAGTTTATGATTTGAAATATTTCTGAAGTGATTTTATGCTTTATTCTTAAATTTACTTTTTCTTCTTTTAGTTTCTGATCATTCAGCTTCTGCAGTGATTCTATACTGCGAAATGCATCTAGTGATTTCAAAAAAATGGGGCAACGAATTTTTATATTCATTATTGGTGGAGCAACACGATCTGAGGTAAAATTCCACCTTCGTATGCATTCTTTGTCATAACTATCTAAACTTTTTGTCTGCTTTGATCAGTTACGTGTGGCTCACAAGCTTACATTAAAACTGAAAAGGGAAGTTATCCTTGGATCCTCTAGTGTGGATGATCCTCCCATGTTTATTACGGTGAGCTTTTGGTGCTTATGTCTTGTTTAAATAGTAAGCTTCAAAAGACATTTTAGCTGTAATTGTTGTTCAAGAAAACACAGTATTTCACTTTTTCGTACTACAGGTAATATCCTTCCCTTTTCTATCTTAACCATACTCCTATATCTTTTCGCCTAGTGGTCAGCTTTCAGATTTTGTCAAAATATACCTATAGTTGGTTTCTGCAATTCAATAGTTGAGAGTTCCTCATTGACTAGGAATTAATCAGCAATTTTTGTCTTTATCGGTAAGGAGCTTTTAGAAAATTAAGGTGTGATTAAATCTACAAAATAGGATTCATACGCTATGATGATCTCTAAAATTCCATGTACCGCCAGACTGTGAATTGCTATATACTATGATGATCTCTAAAATTCAAAGATTGGAAAGCCAGGTACATGAGCAGCAAGCAATACACGTACAACAATCTTGGATAGGGTGGATGATCCTGATAACACTTCAAATTCTACGAATGCATAGAGGCAACACTTAATAATGTTGCTTCTGCTTATGTACTTCAGCCTACCAAGTACATTAGTCATGTTATGTAGTTTAAGTTGGACTTCAGAAGACGTATGAAAGTAATCACGGGCTCTTTTAACCGATACATATTTTTCTATGTTTGTGAACTGATTTTGCTATAATAGGCGTGCATATTTATCATGGACTATATCTGAATTCACTGTGAAGCACAAGTCTAATATTTTTCATCTACGGCATCAAATGCAGAAACTGAAGATGCTTACCAGACAACAACCTTCACTGGAGAAGCTTCATATCTAGATTTTGCAACTACTGCAGCTTCTTGGTTCCAAATGCAGATGGTCTTTTTTCACATTGTGATCATAACTCCAACTTCCATGGCTTATCGTCTTGTCAAAAGCACACTCTCTTCGCTGCCATATCCCATCCAGTGTTTCTGTCGATGTTAGACAGGATGAATATTTCTCTTACCTGCTGCTCAATACAATTTTTGTAATACATTTGACACCACAACAACTGAAAAAACATAAGTACCTTTTTGTCTGAATTTTTCGATGTTCCGTGAGTATTAATTGTTCTAATGTGGCTCCATCACAATATAGTCTAGTCTCAGTTTGTTGAATAGATTCTTGTTTTAGTCACGAATGAGAGTATGTATATTACATCGCCATTGTAACACCCCGATTAGTCACACATTAAAAGTGGATAAGACTAAGATTGGTTTATATAGATCTGATGAGTGAACTACTATTAACTTTAACTTAAATATTTTGATCCGTGGTTTGGGTGAAATGAAGTTGATAGATCAGTTAACCCATCAGACTCAGGTCATGATATTTTATATCAAAGCCTCATCCTGAGTGACATGAGGAGTCCCGGGAATGACATATCTTTTAGAATTGCTATTTTAGCCTAAATTAATGTTGCTTTGCATTGCCACTTAGATTGAACAGTTGATCAATATCCTCATCCTTTGCAAGAATTTCTCTCTCATGTTAGAAGTAAAACAAAAATTCCAACTCCTAACTTTTTATTTACAAGAACACACGTTTGTTCTTCGTTTTTGTTTTGGTTGGCCCCAACAACTAAGCATCTGTGCCATATTGGACTGGAGACACTCTAACATAGCCAACTTCTAGCCATTGTCAAGAACATGAGGTACTTTGACTCGATTTTGAGAAAGCCATTGGTTCTATTCGACACGTAAACTTATGATCACTGTACCACTAAAAATAAGTGCTTATTGGTAAAGGGATTAGGTATTCCCCTCGAAGAGACACTCTAGCAATGCAGGAGCAGAGTTAGTTCTCTTGAGGGGGTGCACCGTGTCGTTCTATTATCTGATGCAATCTTATGATGAAACATCGGTATTTTATAGAAGATACTAAAATTAAGAAGAGCCAGATTTATTTATATAAGATAGGAGTTCCTCAAAATTTAGAGGAATTCAACAACCTACTTTAACCTTCCTAAAGGCTACTACTCAACAACAAGCCTTTTGGTGATAATAGCCTCTAATAAGGGATAACACTAACATTAAACTTGCAATGCTTCTAACCATCTGGTTTTTTTTCACTTTGTATACAACAAACTTTGTTTTCCTCTTGAATTACTAAATTTGGATACCTAAAACTAGGGTTTACTAGACCGACACATATTGCCCTATACCGGATGGTATAATTATATGATCCAGTATCGCTCAATACAAGATTTGTACCAATCGATAACGATCAAAATATGATTTTTACCGATACAAGTCGGTGATGATCAAATTTTGATTGTTACTAACCAAGGACTAAGATTGTCTTATTTCAAACGATTAATTTGACTATTTGAACGAAAGAATTTTTAAATCCTTTCCTTTCCTTTTTTTTTAGCTTATTTTATTTTCTTAATCTCTTCAATTATCTCAAACTCTTTTTCACTCATATGTCTTATTTAGCTTACGTTTTATTGATTTGATCAAATTTGAGAGATTGAGTTGAGAGGAATAAGAGGAAAAACACTCTGATCAAGATGTATGTGTTCTTTTTCTATATCTTTATTAATTTATAAGATGATTAAGCCTATTCTATATAATTAATAATTTAATGTTTAATATATTATTTGATATATTTTTTTTATGGTAAAATAGTATTAATTAAAGAGTAATTAAAATATTTAATATTGTGATTAGTATATTTAATACTAATTTTTTTCAAAATTAAACACTTAGTGGGTCAAATCTTTATATGTCATGTCTATTAAGGTGAATTATATGTTTGTGATAGTACAATAGATGTAATTAGGTTTTAATTAAGATTTTTTAATTATAAATAGTAGATTTAATGATGATTTAATCAAAATTTGATCAATATTGGATCAATTCAATGTTTTAATACATATTTATAATGGTGAAAGAGGATTAATTAACTATATTAATACTATAATTAGTTTATTTAATTATGATGATATCAAAATTTGATACATGTTGGATTAATTAAATATCTTTGATGCATATTAGAGTATTTGACATATTTATAATGATGAAGAAAAAATAATTAAAGAGTAATTAACTATGTTAATAGTATAATTAATATATTTAATTATGATTTCATCATAATTTACTTACGTTGGGTCAAATATACATATTTAATATTTTTTAGGATGTTTGACATTTCTATAATAATAAAATAGAGATAATTATGGTTTATTTAAGTTCTTTTATTACTATAATTAGTGTATTTACTGAAAATTTTTGTGATATTTAGTTAATTCTACATATTTAATGCCGATTGATTGACAAAGTTGGTTCATTAGGTATACTGAAACATGTATATGAGGATGCTTCAGATCATGCTCGACTGAAACTATCATCATTAGTAATGCATTTATTGTGACCATATCAACAAGGGTGGAGGAATCACCCGGGTGGAGATGTAATTGGCCAATAGATATCCCGATATTGCAAAATGTAAGAAGGTTCTAACGGAGGTCCGTAAATCCTTTTAAGATAAGTTACAATAGGCAAGGGAAGATGCAATGAAAAAGAAAACGAGCTGAGGAAGAAAACTATAGGGATACGCAAGAAAGAGCTGGTTATGATGAATGTGATGGTCGTGGTGATGAAATTGAACATGATATCATAGTTAGTATTTTTGTATCATTGGAGCATCAGTACATCTATGAGGAAGCAATGAGACATCGACAACTTGACTCACAATGAAAGCATGACTATAGTAGTAAGCCTGTGCCACAAGGAATCCAAAGGTCGGCCAGCATGAGATAACCAACTGCCCCTCCTAAGTTAAGTTAAATTGGTAGCATGAGGTAAGGTGGAATCCGTGATTTTATAAGAGGACTTGGTAGGACGTCAATACCATATATTATTGATATTGATCCACAAGCCTATCCTTCACAAACAGCAAAACAGATAGGGATTGACGATGCATATACAAAAGAAAAGAAATGGGATATTGGAAAGACAATTGTAAAATGGTTTAACTTCCATAAGATTCAAACAAATACAATCCAAGGTCCATATTATCAAAGTATGATATCCTCTATTCAAAAATCTAGCATAGGATCAAACCACAACCAAAGAGATGCACGGTATATATTTAGATGAGGAGGCAACAAAACTAAAGGATTGAATCAAATCCTTCAAGAGGGAGTGGGATGAATACGGGGTGACATTGATGTGTGATAGTTGGATAGGGTCAACAAGAATGAGTATCATCAATTTTCTTATTTATTGCAATAAACGGATAGTTTTTCATAAGCCGATTAATGCTTCCGATAAGATTCAAGATGCAAACGATATTGAAAACCTAATGGAAACCGTAGTAGAGGAGATCAAATCATAGTACACTATCTAGATAGTCATCGATAATGAAGCCATATTAAAAAATGCTAATTTACAATTGATGAAAAAGAGGAAAATATTATTTTGGACTTCATGTGTAGCTTATTGCATTGCATGGATCTAATACTGAAGGATATTGTGAGCTACCATCAGTTAGCATAGCTCGAGTATAATTGATCACAAAGTTTATATATAATCATTATTGGTCCACTCTTTAATGCAAAAATATATAAATGGTGAAATACTCGGACCTAGAGTCATTCGATTTGCTATAAATTTTATTGTTTTAAAGTCAATACAACAAAAGAAGTAGGACCTCAAGGCAATGGTCATCTTACAAGAATGGTCTGATTCTAGGTATTCAACATTGAGCGATGGAAAAAAGATTAAAAAAAAAAAGACTATTCTTTCTTCTAGATTTTAGGAAATTATGAAAAAAATCATAACATGAGTGGAACCACTTTATGTTGTCCTCCGTAAAATCGATATGGACAAGCGCCCCCAATGTCTTATCTTAAATATATGACTAAAGTTCATATGGATCAAGATATCCATAATGTAGGTAAATTCATATTTGATATAATTTAATTCATAATATTTTAATATTTAAAAGGTTCTTACTATTGTCTAATTTTTAAATTACTAATGTAATTTAACTCATAATTTTTTAATATTTATCTTGTAGCGTATTATCTAAATTTGGTCATTCAATTTTGGAATAATTTTAGAATATGGTTAGATTTATTGTTGGCACTAAGGAATATTATATATCGACTATTGTTAAATACTATCGGTGCAATTGATATTATCATGGAGAGTCAATTATTTTAGAAAATAATTGATTCATTTTCCAACATTATACTTATATCGTGTCATTATAATATAGATTATAGTGAGAAAAAGTTACACATATATTGATTATAAATTATATTTGATATTAATTATTTATTATGTTAATAAAATCCTATTTATATCTTTTTGCAGTCAAGTAGTGGTTACAACTTGAAGGGAATACACCAAATTTAATGAAGGTTATTATCCGTGTAATTTCGCAGACGACATCTAGTGGTTATGAATGTAATTGGTCATTGATTTACACAAAAGTCCACAACAGACTATTGTATAAACGGTTAGAGAAAATGATATATGTCCACTATAACATGCGGCTAAGGTTGTCATGTGGAGCTAGACAAGGAGCTAAAGGAAACAAAGATTGATTTCATCGACCTCCAATTCTATAACAAAGATTCAAAGTCGATGTTAGAGTGGGTTGAAGTAGTAGAGAACCAAGAGGATCCCCTACTTGATAAGACGGGAGATCCTCAACATCTATGTTTTATCACCGAGGCAATAAAAAGAAGAGGAAGCACATCGCCAATAGAAGGAATATTCCCCTCGATCATAACGTGGAGGAAGGGGCGGGAGAACATCGAGTTAGACTACTTGAGTAATTAGATACACCCAACCGTCATAGTCGTCTGCCCGGCATGCAAAGGAAAAAGCAAAGGAGAAGACAGTAACATTAGTCGCACTATTGGAAAAAGTTGAGTTGAACAATGAAACACCTTCTTAATCGCATTGAACAACCTGCTTAGTCTAGAGACATGGTAGCGACGTGGACAATAGTGTCTCAACCAATGATGGTGATCACGCCAAGGAGTCGATGGTCCCGTCTACATAATTTGAGAGTGGTGCATGGATCA